TACCATTAGTTGAATTCAATGACAACCAATAACTCATAATTCATACAAACAAACAACAATAATTAAGGTGTAATACAAGATATATTTTACTAATTGGGAAGTTGAGTCTTTTGTTTGAAGAGATAATTGTTAAGATATAAACAAAATTCTACATTGCTAGAATAAAAGAAAAGTGAGAATTTTAAAACACATACATATTTTATTAATTAGAAACTTTTGAAATGATGACCAAAAACAAAATTATAAAAGTGAAAGCTCAAAGTGGAATTTCACCAATATAGAAATATGTATGAAATAATCCAATAAAAACATATTCTTGACAAACAATGAAAAAAAAAAAAAAAAACCCTAACAAACTTTACTTATACACGAGAAACATTTTAAATCAGTCAATACATACAATTCCCATAGTAGCCTATTTCTAAAGGTATCATGTCAATTTTTTTTTTAACATTTTATCACATCTTCTCATCTACAATAACTTTCACGTATTTCTTCTTACCTCTTTACCTTATTTCATACTTATTGATAGTTTCATAAAGTAAAATAGTAAGAAAGTAAAATTAGGTGTAGCTAATTAATTTTTAAACTAATTAAAAATCCAGCTAATTTGTTTCTGAATTTATAAGAAGTTGTTGTATTAGTAGGTCTAGGCATTGGGTGAGATCGGGTCTAAAAATTCAACCTGAATGAATTTACACTCTTTAATTTTTGACTCAAATCTGTTTGAAGGATTATTCTATGTGAACAGAATAGGAATTGTCAAGATGTAGATCAATTTAATTGATTGGACTAATATTTGGGTCAAAATTTATTTTAGACATATTAAATATTTGATTATTTTTATTCTAAAATATTTTATCCTAAATACTCTATAAAGAAACTTAATTAAAATTTAATAAAATTATAAATGTTTAAAGAGTAATTTTATGTTGAATAAAGTTAATTTTATAAATGAGTCATTTTATTCCAACTTAATAGAAATATCTACTAGCTATTATTACCAAAAATAGCTCCATTTTTTTATAAGCTAATAAAATTTATACAAAATAGGAATGTACAATCATTATAGAAATTTAAAAATACAAATATATTGTAATTATGTAATTAAATATTTATATTTTCAATTTTTAGTTATAATGGCGAAAGAGTCAAACATTTACTTTTATATTTTAAATTTTTATAACTCAGAAGTATATTAATTTTAAAATTTTAAACCTTCCCACTCAAATTTGTTGGTACCAGAAATTTCAACCCCCATTATCCACTATATGCCTGAAATCGCTCATAAACAAAAAAAAAAAAAATCTTTCAATTTTTGCAGGTTCGGGTCGGATTGCTGGTTTGTGCTCACCTCTATATGACTATAATATAATATTAAAATATGTTTGAAAATTAACATAATAATAAATAAGAATTAATCCTTTAAGTCTCTATCTTTCTATTAGTTAAAACATAAAATTGACTATGAATTTCTTTGAGATGTATATCTTTTACGTATAGATTTCATTAAAAAAAAAATGATCCTATTGAAATTTTTTAAAGGAATCCTAATTGGCTTTGATTTTATATAAAGACAAACTAAACTTGTTAGTTGTATAAAAGAAATTAGTAATCTTAGAATCTCTTAATTTGAATGTATAATTAAGAGGCATTGACGTGGAGCACGTGTATTGTGAGCATTTAGGATGAGAAAAGAAATAGTGGAATGTGCATTGGGCAAGTAATTAAGAGTACTAGGAAGGTGGGTCCTGGTTTTGAATTGTATTTTGTATTGGTGTGCCATTGGGACAAAGAGGAAAAAGAGAGGCAATTTCCTGGGTCGCCTCTTTGCTAATGAAATTGGAGACGAGGGAGGGGAAAGAAGATGCACCAAATATGCGTGAAGTGAGAATGAGGATGAATGAGCATATTCACCATCATAATCATATTGATATCTCAATGTTGCGTAGGTGCGTGTGTTGGTTGTTGGTAATGCTAACCACTTTGCCACAGTCCTTCTCTGAATTCGATCATTCGGTGTGTAAGGATAGCTTCTACAACTGTGGAAAACTGCAGAACATCTCGTATCCCTTCTGGGGACAGAATCGATCCTCTGAATGCGGCGGCGGCGAAACATTCCAGCTCACATGCCATGATGCTCATAATACTAGTTCAATTCAGATTGGCTCACAAAATTTCACAGTTATAGAGGCGAGGAATGACAGCATGAGAGTGAGAGCAGAGCTTGGGCATGATGTTTGTTCTCTTCCATCAGAGAACATTTATGTGAACCCCACTCAGTTCCTGTATCTAGAATCTCCTTCAGTCTACAACATCACCATCTTCCACCACTGTCGCTACTTGGCATATAACTCTTCTGAATACGAGTTATACAGCTTTCCGTGCGGGGATAATTCTTTCTCTTATTATTTTGCTGACTTTATGGAACCTGATGAGGAGTTGATCAATGAATTATCAAGGCTTTGCAAGGGGCGTTTGCACGTGCCGACAGACGCTCATCCGGAGGATTATGCTGGTGATGCACGTGTTGCTTTGGAGAAAGTTCTAGAGAAAGGGTTTGTGGTAAAGTATAATGTTGGTGAGGAATGTCCAGATGGATCTCATGCTCTACACTGCTCTTCCAAAAGTACGTCTTCTATCCTCCCATCACTTATTATGCCATCCTTCATCCTCCTCTTTTATGAGTTTTATCTATCATCCACTCTTCCTCCCTTCAAAATCACCACACCCCTCACCTTTGCTTTTCATTCTTCTACTTCCATCTCCATATACATTCTACAGCGTTATCTCACCCACAAACAAAACACTCTATTTTTAATGTTTCATATTATCTTGTTAAACTTAGTCTTCTTCTGCAAATGCATAATACTCTTTTTAAATACATGTTTTGGACTCCAATGGATGTTTCTTAGACAAGTATAAAATACATAGTTAATTTATGTAATAGATATCAAGTCTTCGATTAGAGACCCGTAAATAATAAAAAATAATAACATGAGAGAGTAATTTCAACGTGTTAAAAGACTAGAGTAGTGTCTATATAAAAAATATAAAAATGTGTTGCTTGCTTCAAATGAATTAAAAAGAAATAGTAATAAACCAGTGAATACGGAAGATATAGTGAAATTTTTTAAAATAATTATTAATAATTGATATTTGTAATACAAATTTACTGAATAATTTGTGGGAGGTTTCAGTGACAGAGACTTTATTGACCTGATTTAGAGAAAAACAAGAGTCCTTGACTGCACACTTTTCTAAGTCTGGCCGTGTCATTCTCTCGGCTTCCTTCTTTGCAGCTTCCCTTCGATTTGACCCATTTGTCTAGCCTTGACTCTGTCAATAACCAAATAAACATTTTCTCTCCAGCTATTCATTATCACATTTTTTTCTCCTTTTCCTACACGTCTGAATTCACAGCTACCCAAAAATGTATCAACTTTGACTTTTCCTTCATAACCCTTAATATTATCAAGTATCTTCTGAGTTCGTTCGCTGTTGTTTCACTCCATTAGTTATGCCTAAATTTGTTTTTAACCGTTATTTCTTTTACTATGTTAATGGATTTTAAATAGCTAACTTATCATCTTTTTTATAATTATTAACAAACGACATGGAAAAGAGCATGCCACAAGACGTACAATTTCCAGTGAATCCTTTTAAGAGGGCCGAACTATTTATTATCTATGTTTGAAATTATTATTGACATATATATAATTTAAAAGTCTGAGGATGAATGCTGTGCACTTGCCAACTTTTGGTTCTCTTTTCTTTGTGGTCTTAAATTATAGCATGTCCTTTTCATAATAATAGTGATACCCGACTCAAAAGAATGATCCATCCTTTTTCCACTTTGCCTTCTTTTATTTTTATTTCACAGATGCATGTGCTTGAACCAACAATCATTAAAAAGAGGATAACACTTTCATTTTTAATAATTTTTCCTAATTTGCTAGTAAGTACTTCAAATAAAAAGAAAATAATAGTATTCTAATGTTTTATTTATTTAATAAGTATTATATAAATTTCTTAATTCAATAATTTTTTCCCTCCCTTTCATTTTATCCCCCCAAATCCCACTCCGAAGAACACTCTAAAAATATAATTAGGATTTATTTGATTGAAATTTTGCACATATTTGTTGGGGCAGAGCAATCTATTGATATGATTTGGTAATAAAATTGCATCGTGATCGATGTTTATCACATTCATATATAGCTAGAGATTTTCACGGACTCAGACAACGGAAAGAAGGGAAATTATTGATTTGGTAAAACTATATATTAGGGTGTATTTGTGATTTTATTTTTCAACGGGGTTGTTGTTTGTATTTGTACGCAAGTGCAGCAAATGTCTTTTCCTTCTTTATGGTCCAACACGTCTTTCACCATCATGGACATCATTTTCTGCTTTCTTATACTTTGAGATTTTTAAAGTATGAATATAACGGAACAGGCTTTGATTTCTCCATTTTCCATTATAAAACCCTTCCACAAAGCAAATCATCCACGTACTTTATTTTATTTTATTTTTATATTAACCTCAGTCACAAAATATTAATCAATTTTAAAACATTACCTAACTTTTAGTCATAACTTTGCAATATTTTTATATATGACTTTATCTAAATTTAAATTAGTGCAATCTATTCAATTAAGGCAAACATACGGTTGCATTCAGTATAACAGCAACATCTATGTAGAAGTACAGTGTGCATGCCATAGTTGCTTCTTTGATTTGGTCTGTAGGTATGGAAGTGATGTAGCCAACCATTGCACAAGAATGTTTATTTGTATTATAATGTATAGGAAACTTCTAACTAAACAATTAGTTGATTGATATTTCAAAACTAAAAAAGTAAAATTATAATAAGATTTTTACAGATTTTGTAATTAGACATGTAGAGTGAGTAAAATTACTGCAAATTATTATTTTTGTAGCAATTTTAAGTCGTTATAAATTAATTACAAAGACTCAATTATAATTTTTTTTAGAAAATATAAGATCTAATTACAAATTTTTTAAATTTAGAGACCAAATTAAAAAAATTATGGCCTGTATTAATTTATTACACGAATATGAATTATGATAGATATGTATTTCATGCAGAGAGATAATAATCTACCAGCAGTATCATAGTGATGTCACCATTACTGGGGATGATGTGGTTTTGATTCTCAGTAGAGTATTATTTTTGTGTCAATAGTTTTATAACAACAGAAAAATGGAGTCTGCATGCAGACTTCCATTGCAAGGTACTTCACCTACTTTCCATTATTGGCGTTCAACTTTTGACTAGTAATATGGTATGGACACCCACTACTAAACTACAAAAACACCCTTAACAAGTTCTCAAAACTGCTAATCACTTGTTCAGGAAATTAAAGATAGGGTGTTTGGCCTACTTCCTCATTTTTGTAAAAGAGCCAATTTCTGGTTATCTATTGCTTGAACTTTTGTTTTGTCTTCTTTTATCTTTTCAAACTACAATCATAAACCCCATTATAAAAAAAATAGCATATTTTCGTGTAACTTTTCCACAATACATACCTACCAACAACTTTGAAATTTCCTCTGAATGCCTCCGTTAGACTCCACACAATTTCTCTTCTCTCTTTTCTTCATCCTTTTCAAATCTCCAAAACCAAATGATCCTTCAAATCTCTATCCATTGCAATAAACCTCAACTATGCATTATTACCACTATCTTCTTCTTGGCTACCATTGTTTTATCATCTAATCCAAAATTTGAGGCCTGCACCCCTAGAAGCTGTGGTGCTGGCCCACCCATTAAGTATCCTTTCTGGATTCCTTATGAACAGGAATCATTTTGTGGCTACCCTGAATTTGAGATCACCTGCATTGACAAAAATCCAATTCTCAGAACTTCTAACAATGATTTGTTAGTGAAAGATATCTCTTACTCCAACTCTTCATTTACTGTGGCCAACATAGCTGTCTATGAGGACAAGTGTCCTGTTCCCATGTATAATTACAGCCTTGATCAAACTCCATTTACCTACAGTTCAGAAAATTGGAATCTCTCTTTCTTCTACAATTGTACCACAGAACCCATAGATTATCCCACTTACAAAGTAGATTGTGCTAAAAATGCTACACATTATTCTTTTGCGGTTTTTCACAAGGAGGCACTGGAACACAAAAACTATTCCTTGAATGAGTGTCAGTTTATGGTTAATGTGCCATTGAACATGAATGCTGCTGTTAATTTCACTAGCTTGTTGCGAATGAATTACACTGAGATTTTGAAGATGGGGTTTCTTTTGAACTGGACTGCACCTGATTGCCAGAACTGTGAGAAAAGTGGTGGACGTTGTGGGTTTGTTGGCAATAAGTTCCTCTGCTTCTGCAAGGATAAGTCCTACTTAAAAAGTTGTGGTAATGGTAATAATACATTTGGAAATATCGTGATCCTACTTTTGTTATTTCTTCATCAAGCACCCTTCTCTCTCTGTGCAAATTCTATTTCTTTCCTTTTTTTATTTTTGTTAGCTTAGCAAAGCTAAAGATTATAGCAAATCATGGAGAAATAGTGATCCCTCTTTTGGGTACAGATGCAATTTCTATTCTAATATGCCATTTCAGAATATGCTAACCAAATAAGTATACCAGATCTTTGCCTTTTCTTTTGACCTACCCTACACTCCCCTTAAAGTATCCCCATAGATCAGAAGATTATGGTTTCACTATTTCAAAATGCATTCGGTTCACTTAATGTGTAGCCACACTAATAGCCATGAAAACTATTTGTATTTTTGTAGACACAGTAACAAAATCAACTGTATATATTTCTTTGATGTAGTTATCAACTGTCTCATGAGAAGATTCAGCTACGTATAACATATGTCCTTGTCTCAATGTGATGATGTCAATATCAGTTGTCAGGCATTGCATTCTTACCATCAAAATATGCATAAAATAGGCTGAAATTGAGGAAGCTTTATGCTTAGACTTTAAAATGGCCTAAATGCTCCACAGTCAGAAACTACTCATGTAACTCATCATTAATTTGAAATGGACAACGAATATGGTATGGTAAACTTCTAAATTGTTTGATGACATGTTAGTCTTACTGCAGTAAACAGTTATTCGTGATTCCCATCATGCCTCTCTTCAGGATATCATTCAATATTATCATGTCATAGCCATTAGTGCATACTTTCTTCATGAGGCCCTTGGTGAAAGTACATAAATATATATATGTTTATGTTTGTAATATTCAAGTACAATATCCTCCTTGAATGGGCTCAATGCTAACCCATCTCTGGTTTCCCTGCTGACTGTTGCAGGCACGTTGAATTTGCCTAGGAAAATCATTATAGGTAATAGATCCAGACTTCCTTTATTTTTTTTTCTTATTTTGTGCGTATTTATTTCATTAATAATAATATATTAATCGAAATTTATAATGATTGCTCTTTAGGTGTTGGTTCTGCTGTGGTGGGAGCACTTGCAGTGGGCATTGGCGTCTATCTCTATTGGCGTAGAAAGAAGAATAGTTATGTCACATATATACAATCTAGGAGCCTCTCTTTTGATCCATCTTTAAAAGACACTGAGAAGGGAACTCAAAGCTTTACTCAAAGCTTTGTACATGGGATGCACCTCTTCTCCTATGATGAACTTGAAGAGGCCACAAATTACTTTGACTCATCTAAAGAACTTGGAGAAGGGGGCTTTGGGACAGTGTATTATGGTAGAAACAAGTACCCTTTGCTGGATCTCACCGTTTGTGGTTTCAAAGATCATTGACTAAGGTTCCTGTCTTCTTATGTTTCTTGTGCAGGCAAACTGCGGGATGGGCGTTCTGTTGCAGTGAAGAGGTTGTATGAGAACAACTACAGGAGAGTTGAGCAGTTCATGAATGAAATTAAAATCCTAGCTCTGTTAAAACATCCAAATCTTGTGTCATTATATGGATGCACCTCTCGCCACAGCCGTGAACTTCTGCTTGTATACGAGTACATTCCTAATGGAACTGTTGCTGATCATCTTCATAGTGAGCGATCCAAACCTGGAACACTCCCTTGGCTCATTAGAATGAATATTGCTGTGGAGACTGCAAGTGCACTCACATATCTTCATGTTAAAGACATCATCCACAGAGATGTGAAAACCAACAACATTCTCCTCGACAGTAACTTTCGTGTCAAAGTGGCAGATTTTGGACTCTCACGTCTTTTTCCAGAACATGTCACCCATGTTTCAACAGCTCCACAAGGGACTCCAGGTTATGTGGATCCAGAGTACCATGAGTGCTACCAGCTTACTAACAAAAGTGATGTCTATAGCTTTGGAGTGGTGTTGGTTGAGCTGATATCATCTTTGCCTGCTGTTGATATCACAAGGCATAGACATGAAATCAATTTGGCCAACATGGCCATCAACAAGATTCACAGTCAGGCACTGCATGAGCTTGTGGACCCTACCCTTGGGTTTGAATCAGATTTCAAGGTAAGGAAAATGATAAATGCTGTGGCTGAGTTAGCATTTCAGTGCTTGCAGAGTTCCAAAGACATGAGACCTTCTATGGAAGAAGTGTTTGATACTCTGAAGGATATACAGAGTGATGGCAAACACAAAAGCCAGCCTGAGGTAATGGATATCTCAAGCACTGCTGATGATGTTGTGTTGCTGAAGGATAACCCTCCTCCACCATCACCTGATTCTAATGCCGTGAGCAAGTCAACAACACCAAATGCTAGTGGATAAGTGGACCTTCTTTAACCTTATCCAAAATTTAAGTAAACAGTTAGAATCACACTAGTAGCATCCACCCATTTACAGCCTGCATTATGTCATCTGCTGATGAAGATAACTTTAAAGATTGAGATGTATATATAGATGATAAAGCTGCTTTGCCTATGAATTTTCATCTTTTTAATAATTATAGTTATATAATATTAATTTTTTTTGTTAAATTAAAAAACTTGTTCCCTACAC